TTCCCCCACGGTCCGGGCTGTGCACCGAGTTTCCAGGTTTCCGGGCCCCGGCGCCCACGGAGGAGCAGGCAGCAGGCCTCGGAGCGTGCGTGCGCGCGTGTCAGTGCGCACGCGAGGGGCGCCTGCCCGCCTGCCTCTTGGGCGAGCGGTCTCCAACAGTAACAGCCTCCCGACTCCCACCCACAGCCTTTCCCCCAGAATTCGTGATCAGGAGAACCCAAACCGTTCCCAAGACAAAGGAGCATCCATCAGCGACAGAGACAGATTTAACGTATTAAATCTTTATTAAAGTGAAGTCATTCTTATTGAAATGATGTATTGGGTTGCAGAAGATTGGATTTTTTTTTTTTTTTTTTGGACGGTGCCTAAGATGGAGAAGGTGGTGGCGCAGAGCCGCCAGCACTGCGTCTCTAGCTGGGTTTGTTCTGGGCCGGGACTGCGTTACTGGGACTCAGGGCACGGTCCCGGGTCTGGGAACTTGAGCCTTAGGCTAGAGAGGAGAAGTTGATCCTCTCCTGCCTCCGGCCCCCAGTTTGACCTGAGAAACAAGCCTGTCCCCAGCCCCCTCAGAAACTTCTTCCTCTCCGAGTTGGGGAAACTGAGGTACTGCAGGCTTGGAGAAATCAGAGACTCCCGGGGCCTAGAAAGGAGATAGAACGGCTGGGTTTCGGGACGGAAGCTCAGTTTTCTCCACAGCCCGAAGAGAGTCCTTGTGCCTAGGGCTTGAAGGAAAAGGGAGGTCTGCGTGCTCCCGCGGGTCGCCGGCCGTCTCCGCAATCCTTCCTTCCTCCCGGCAGGATTGGAGGCTGGAGCTGGCCGCCTCCCCGCCTCGGGTGGACACTCAATTAAATTGGCCCGCAGACCTCGCGTCCTGTCAACAGGGAAAGCGGGACCAGGAGGGAGTTCGGAGAGGCGTCCTCTGCCCCAGGGATGGGCTGCCCAGAGATGTCTGCAGTGCGTCTGCCACGGCTCGGGTTCCTATCTCCCCAGGAGGAAGGGCACACGGGGAATCGAAAACTGTGGGCGACTTTTCCGAATGGAAGCCTCAACTTCAACAAGACGTATTTGTGCCTCCACCTTCAGACACACAGACATCCACGCAGCCTGAAAATGAACTGTTGGAATCAATTTCCTTGGATTACTCAACTTTTTTTTTTTCTATCGTGTTTCAGCAATGGGCTGAACGTTATACCAGTTGATTCAATTTAGTATTTGCATAACCACGAGAAGAAGGTGGCTTTGCAGAGTCAATGAATAGGTCTCTTGTTTGGTGTGTGTGTGTGTGTGTGTGTGTGTGTGTGTTGTGGGGTTGGAGCCTTAAGTACACGTTGGTGGGGAGGGTATCTCTAGGGCTGTATTGCTGTCCCATGCCACTGAAGACAAATTATTGTTTACTTTTTTCTCCACTTTCTCTTTCCCTTTCCTCCTGGCTCCTCATAGAATCCTCTACCCTCAAGCATTCACTAATAGGACCCTTCTTTCCTTCCAGGGCATCCTTGCTCTCACAGATAAATTGCTTGGGTAAACTCTTTGAAATCATTCGTGGCAAAGTGGTACAGCACTCCTATTCCATACCTTGCACATAGGAAAGGAGCAAGCAGAATTTTCAAAATGTAGAGCCCATTTCAATGGCCTCCAGGATCCCAACCAGTGCACTAATTAAATATTTCGCAGCTCCCCAGTTCCTGTGCTAGCTGGCACTGGGAATTTCTTCCCCCACCAAGTCATACAAATTGGACTTCTGTAACACCACCCCCCACCCGGGTTACCCCTTCCCACACCAACCCACGCACGCGCACACACACACGCTCTGCCCCAAACTCCCACCCTCTTTTTCTGAATGGCATTACAAAGAACTTTGTTAAAGAAAAGTCGGGCTAATTGCTGCCAGAAGACCCGTCTCACAGAAAAGTCTGGTTTTCATAAGCCAGATTCAGTAAAGGTTGTGGTTAAACCTAAGCCCAGTAGAAGGTTCTTACGGTTTCCTCTGCGAAAGAGGGAAATACAAAGAAACACTAAGTTCAGCCAAAATGTTCAGTGGGGGGAGAAGGGAACACGGTGGGCTGGGAGGTGAATTCAAGAGTTGTTTCCTTCTAGATTCTTCTCCTCAGAAGAAGCTTCTCAAACTTACTGACACCTAGTGACATCGTTTTCCTAAGTAGCTCTAGCATCTCACCAGTGATTTGATTCTCTTGCTATGACACAAGTTTATTTCAAACCCTATCTTATTAGCGCCTATTAATTTTGTAAGACATTGGGTTTCAGTGTGGTAGGTTTGTACATACACATTTTGATCATATTCATCCCCCAATTAACCCTCCTTTGCACCCCCATTTCCATCCTCCTTATGCCCTTGTTCTTGGATGTGACATTAATTTCTAAGGGCTGAGAAGTTATAGAGTACAGAGAGATTTTCCAGAGCCAGGGTCCCTACTTAGTAAGCTCTTGAAATTCCTCTGTTGGTAGCAAAAGGCCCCTAGGAAAGAAAGAAGCAGGTGGATTCTCCCTCTTCTACGCTGTGTCACTGGGAAACACAACTTTCCTAGAGCTGGTCTGAGAGTAGTGGTCCAGGCATCCCTCCCAGCCCTCTGCTTGGCTTTCCTAAGCTTAACCAGCAAGGTCCTGCTCTGCCTTGTGACAGAGAGTTAGAATGAGGTGATGTAGGGGGTGTTTGGTGAGAACCTGACCTCCTTCAGTGTTTGGTAAAGGGCAACTCCTCTCAGAATAACCTCCTTATTAATAGACTGTTTTCATTTTACATTCTCCAAGTCAGAATTTTCCTTGCTCCTCTTGTTCTAGAACTTTCACAGGTATAGTTCCCGAAGCTGATCGAAAGCCCCTGGAACTCAGATTCCAAATAATGGATTTTGCCCAAGCCCAGCGCATCAGAGAGCTGGAGCCACTGACCCTGTCTCATCAAGATCACAAGTCGTTTCCCAGCCTCTGAATTCCCCAGGACATTTTTGGCTTGGAAGAAACATCCTCAACTTTAGGACTCATCACTCCCACACTCCAAGGAAGAGTTTCTCTTTTTGGAAACCTTATCTTTTAAGGATCCTTTTATTCAGCTGGTTATGGAAAGTAGAAATGGAAAAGGGAATGAACAGCAACTATGTTTTGTTTTATCTGAATCTACCCTTATACTACCACCTACCATACAGTTGTAGGAATGAGGAAAAGAAGGACTGAGGTCTTAGCAATACTGAGTCTTTCTTTTGTTCTACAATTACAGAAAGATCATAATATAAGCAAATGAATGCAAACATAAAAATCACTCTCCCTGTGTTTCTCCTGACAGTCTTCATGGTTGGGGTTTCAAAGGATTTTATCTGTCTCTTGGTTTCAGAATGGTAACAGTGATTTCTTGTTACCAAAGACATGAAGCTAATTAGCTAAGAATGTGTCTCATTTCTCAGTCTCTAGAATGAGTCAGTGCAGCCTTCTCCCCCAAATCCTATCACTTCCCATCCCACGGCCTAAACATGTTAGAAGACTTAATGCAGCATATCTTCAATCAAGTACTAAAACTCTGACCATGGAGGTTTGACTTCACCATCTCCACCTCGACATAAACAGTGGATTTAGCTCTTCCACTCGGTTAACCTATGAGACCTCAGTGATCTCAACTGGCTCTGGAAGTGGACCAAGGCCAGAAAGGGTTGGCCCTGAAGTTCCCTGCAAGCAGGAAGAGCTTGTCACTTTCAGGCACTTTGTTCTTCTTGAGCTTGTCCCCAGAGCAGGAAGAAGACACCTACAAGCCCCTGGAGTCGAGTCTTCCGGAGCTGCTCTGGCCTGAGACGGTAGCAAGGGGCATCGCATCCCTGACATGGCCTTCTTCCCCTTAAATATCATGAAAGAAATTGTTCTGGAAAGAAAACTAAACTATCTAAGTCCCCAAAATCAGTCTCAGTATGAGGTGATTTGGAATATGAAGAAAACTGTTCATTACCCTGACGTTCTCATTTTATAAACAAGCACCAAAGCTGTGTTCTCATAATAGAACTACAATCTCCTCGGTTTGTGTGGATTTGCATAGTAATTGCTACACAAAAATCAAACCTCACACCTCCTCTTTTGCATTTGGTTTATGTTTTTCTGTAGCATCAAAAATATTTTGATTATCTGCTTCTGAGACCTTCTCTAGAATTCATCATTTCACTGTCTTTCCACCTTTCCTTCTTTTCTCCTAATCAATGAAAGTCTTTTTCTCCTGAAGCTAAGAATCTAATCAACATACTAAATCAAGAGTGCGCGAGAGACTTCACATTTACCAAGGAAGTATCACCTAAGGTGAAGATCTTCAGATTCAACTTTTATTTATGTCTGTCGCCAGCGACAAAAGGAAGATAGGAGATTGTGCAGGGGATCCACGTGGGGGATTTTTTTGTCCTAGCTTCCTGAGGCAGAGCCCACCAGTAACATCCTTCAGGCAGGGCCTTTCCCTGAGCTCTGTCCCGTGGCTGAGCTTGTTTCTGCCTGTCTTCTTATCCCACTGGGCTGCCAGTGGGATAACACTGCGAAGAAGCCACCGATTTCTGAGGCTTGGAAGACAAAAATCACCGCGATGAAACATGTTTTCGTTTTGAGGGTGACCTTTGACCTTTCTATCCCATACACCTGACGCCAGGGGCTAAGAAAGAACCTGTTTGGGTCTGGGCTGGTTCT